GTGAACATCACAAACACAAGCATGTATACCCGTTCCACCTCCCCGGTATACATCCAGTCTCTAAGCAAATCCCGCTTGAGAGTTTCCATTATGATTTTGAAACCTTACAAAATTAAAAGCAAACCTGACCAATTTAGAAGACTATGTAAATTGTAAACCCAATTGACAACACCATGCCAATTGTAAACCAACCTCTAGATCAAGAGATCAACCCCTCTCATAAACCGAGAGAACCTTTCTTTGAAGCAATGTACAATTCCAATCCTATAAGCCTTGATGTGAATGTGGATGTGTAACAGTGGCTTATCAATATTTTTAACTCTTTGAATATTGCCTAAACAAGCTCTAAGGATGATAGGAACAAAGACAATATCAGAAACTCTCTTTTATGGAAAAACAGATCCAAAAACTAAAAGTTTAGAGAGTTAATTTGCACAATATGTGAATCTTACAAGTGCAAAACTTTGTGCTTGTTTTCTTATGTTTAAACCTATTTATAGCCTTTGAAATGACATAAATTTAAACCTAATTAACGTCCACAAAATGGCTATAAACAACCACTTATTTAAAACCTAAAATATGGAAAAACTGTATCTGTAGTCAACTACAAGTCATAGTAGCCGACTACACTGAGTCTAAACAGACTCTATGAAGTCAAAAAATTGCTTAGTAGTCGACTACAAGGCATAGTAGTTGACTACACTGTAAACTCCTAAATTCTGGAATTCTATTTTTAGTATTTTGACTGTAACTTTCTCATCTGACATCGGAATGAGGTGATTTAAGATTTGTTGAAAAGATGTTGAAAAGACCTACAATTTTTGGTCTTTTGAGGTTTTCCAAATTCGAACTGCTAAGGGGTATAAATAAAATGTTTTAAGACTCACTCAATATTTATAAACTCTAATGACTAACATAGGGGATTTCTATTGTTAACCAACACACAAAACATGTATTAATGTGTTCTAACACTATGTGTGTGCATGTGTGTGAATAATCAAGGCTTGTACAAATTTCTAAGTAAAGAAAATGTAAAATTACATTTTGACAATTAAGTATATCTTCTTCTTTGCTTCTTTTTGCCTTGAACTCATCTATGTCTTGAGTATCTCTTTGAATATAATTGTTGATATAGCTCTAATACTGATCTATGTCTTGAGTATCTCTTTGAATATAATTGTTGATATAGCTCTAATACTGCAAAACAAATGTTAGCACATAATACACACAACTCTCTTTGAATATAATTGTTGATATAGCTCTAATACTGCAAAACAAATGTTAGCACATAATACACACAACGTATAATATTTGTTATTATCAAAACAAACTAATCTTGGCGTCAAGATTCCTATCATTCTCTCCCTTTTTGATGATGACAAATATTTGCTATTAAGATATAAAAAATTTAATTCCCTTGCATGAAATCATTAAATAAAATCTTTTACCCCCCCTGCATCAAAGCATTAGTAAAAAATTTAAAATTTTCTATATAACTCCTCCTTTGTCATTAGAAAAAAGAAATAAACATAATTCTAGTTAAAAAAATTTTCCCCGGGTACTTTAATAAAAACATTAAGTACTTTGGTACCCTTTTATATTATATCATTAGGATTAGCCCTTAGGAATCCAAATCCACTTGGAATTTGGTTTTCATTAATTAACATAAGTGTAATTTTTGTATTGCAAACTTCATACATATAAGATGAAATATAATCATTCCTATCATGAATATTCAAATTCTTAGGAATCCATATATACTTATTTTGTTTAGCATGAATATTCTTATAATTATTCTTCAAAACATAATCATTCTTTGTAAAATACTTAGGAACAAATCCAATGCTAAAATGATTGTTTGAAGATTTTTGAAATGAGAGCAAAATATTCAAATTCTCTTTACCTTTATTGAATTTACTAACATTCAAACATATATCATCATATTTTAATTTAATAGAAGAAATATCTTTATCTAAAACATTAATGCGAATTTTTAAATTATTACATTTTGATTTTAGATAAACATTCTCATTAGTCAAAATATGATTTTCTTTAAGCAAGGATTTATTTTCCTCTTTCAATTCAATTACTTGAGAATTAGAAATAGTAGAAGAATTAAAATCAGAAATTTCTTCAAGTAATCTTTTATTTTCAACTTTAAGAAAATTATGTGAAGTCTTTAATCTCAAAAATGTTTCATATAATTCATTGAAAGCATCTAAAAGCTCTTCATTGCCACTTACTTCATCTTGTGCCATAAAACACATATGGTCGCTTTCCTTTTCTTTGATTTTTTCATCCGAAGACGAATCATCACAATCAACCCATGTAGCCGCCAAAGCCTTCCTTTTCTTGTTGCTTTGAATATTATTGAAGTTGTTGAAATGATTTGATTTTTGCTTATTTTTCAATAATGGATAATCTTTTTCATATGTCCTGGTTTGTTACGTTTGAAACAAAGTAAGTTATTTGAATTTGAATTTTTTAATTTGAACTTACCTTGTTTTATGAACTTTCAAAACTTGCGTGCAAACATGCTCATTTCTTCATCATCATCCGGATCTTCTTTATTGGAAGTAGTATTGAATGCAAGTACTTTCTTGTTCTTTGTTTCATCCTCATTCTTTCTATCTTCAATTTGAACTTCATAAGCCATGAGGTTACCAATTAGATTTTCTACCGTAAAAGTTGATAAGTCATTTGCTTCCTCTATTGCGGTAACTTTCTTTTCCCATTGTGGAGTAAGTGAACGAAGTATCTTTCGTCCATCTCCACTTGAGTGTATACTTTTTCAAGACCGATGAGAGAATTGGCAATATCGGTAAACCTTGTAAATATCTCTCCAATGGTCTCATTTTCCTTCATTATAAACAATTCGAATCTGTGTACAAGAACAGAAATTTTAGATTCTTTAACCTTACTTGTGCCTTCATGAGTTACCTTGAGTGTGTGCCAAATGTAATAAATAGATGTGGCCGTTGACACCCTGTTGAACTCATTCTTGTCAAGAGCACAGAACAACGCGTTCATTGCTTTAGAATCCAAATTTGCATTGTTCCTTGGAGATGAAGTCCATTCCGTGAAAGGAGTAGTTGGCTTCTCGTATTTTGTTTCCACAACGTTTCAAAGTTCGTAGCCAATTGATTGGAGATAGATTTTTATTCGACACTTTCAATAGTTGTAATTTAGTCCATCAAACATTGGTGAACGATTTGTAGAATGTCCTTCCTTGAATTTTGAATTTGAGTCAGAAGTTGATGTCATTTCTTCAACCTTGCTCTGATACCAAATGTAGGGTCTAATTTTGCTTATGCATACCAAGTGTAGGATCGTGGCCCTTAAGAATATAGTGTGCTCTTATAAAAATCTACGGAAACTTTACACTTAAACACTAGAGGTTGAGTTTGCAAAGTAGATTATAAATTGCAAAGAAAAAATGATAATATCAGAAAGTGAACATCACAAACACAAGCATGTATACTGGTTCCACCTCCCTGGTGTACATCCAGTCCTCACGTAAATCCCGCTTGAGAGTTTTCATTATGATTTTGAAACCATACAAAATCAAAAGTAAACCTGACCAATTTGCAAGACCATGCAAATTGCAATCCCAATTGACAACACCATGCCAATTGTAAACTGACCTCTAGATCAAGAGATCAACCTCTCTCATAAACCGAGAGAACCTTTCTTTGAAGCAATGTACAATTCCAATCCTATAAGCCTTGATGTGGATGTGAACGTGTAACAGTAGCTTATCAATCTTTTTAACTCTCTGAATATTGCCTAAATAAGCTCTAAGAATGATAGGAACAAAGGCAATATCAGAAACTCTCTTTTATGGGAAAAACAGATCGAAAAACTGAAAGTTTAGAGAGTTAATTTGCACAATATGTGAATCTTACAAGTGCAAAACTTGATGCTTATTTTTTGATGTTTAAACCTATATATAGCCTCTGAAATGACATAATTTTAAACATAATTAACGTCCATAAAACGACTATAAATAGTCACTTATTCAAAATCTAAAATCTGAAAAACCTGCATCTGTAGTCGACTACACTAAGTCTAAACAGACTCTGTGAAGTCAGAAAATTGCTTAATAGTCGACTATAAGGTATAGTAGTTGACTACACTGTAAACTCCCAGATTTTGAAATTCAGTTTTCAGTTTTTTGGCTGTAACTTTCTCATCCGATCTCGGAATGAGGTGATTTAAGATTTGTTGGAAAGCTGTTGAAGAGACCTACAACTTTGGTCTGTTGAGTTTTTCTAGATTCGAACTGGTAAGGGGTATAAATAAAATGTTTTAAGACTCACTCAATATCTATAAACTCTAATGGCTAACATAGAGGATTTCTACTGTTAACCAACACACTAAGCATGTGTTAATGTGTTCTAGCACTATGTGTGTGCATGTGTGTGAGTGATTGTAGGCTTTAAATATAATTTATGTATAAATTAACAATGAAAGGTGATTGTCGTATAGTTACATTAGTTTAAAGGTGGTTTACAGGAAAATAGAAAATCCTTCTTTAAATTCACATCTTGTACTATTTAAACCTGGACTGTTCTAGTTGAATATTCTTCATGAACTAAGACCCGACTCTTTCAACAAATTGGTCTTTCTAAATTCACAGCTGAATGCACAAATTGATCTTTCTAAATTCACAGCTGAATGCACGTAAAAGATGTTGAGCACGGATTGTCATAATACTATGTTGAAGTCTCTTTCACTGTAGACGTTTCTGAACTATACTGAGAAGTGAGAATTAAGGCTTACAAGTTTATATTATAGCAACAAGATTGTTGAAAAATAATCCTGACATGATTTGGATTCATGGACCGTCCAATTATGGTGCAAGTCGTAGGCAAAATCTAAGTCTTGTCCAGAGAAGAAATGATAATGAATATAATCTTAGAAAAGGGCAGCATAAAGTAAATATGAAGGGGAGCTCCCCAGATTTCTTTTCCTTTAGAAAATACTGGATCTGGTAAATGTTGAAGACAAGAATGACAACTTCACTTGTAAATTAGCTGCAATATATCAACATGATTTATAGATGAATGGCAGTAGCTGCAGTAATGCAGAGCCAGATGCTCATGAAGGTGTATATATACAAGTATCAGAAAGAGAGAGCGAAACAAAGAGCGAGAAACAGGAGTACAGATGAGAAAAGCAAATCCTTCAGCAGAAAGATCAATCTACGCGTTCACAGCAGCCTGCTCTTCAGCCATCTGTGATACTGGGAGAAGAGTGCATATTAAGTTGCGGTCACCATACACATTGTCGACACGCCCTGAAATAAACCATAAACCAACATAGTCAGTATCTATATGAATAAGAGAAAATTATCCCTGAACTTGTATGCACAAAAGCCCTCCAAATTGGTAAATCACAGAAAACCTTTTGAAATTGTCTCACTTAATTATTATGACTGACAAAGTTAACTTAAAATAGCTAAGCATCAGAGTCAGAAGGGTTGGTAAAAAGTAAAAGTCAAAAAGGATAATTTTGACTTTTTACTCTACCTTTGAAAAGCTGTTTATCAGATTTCACAATAGTTCATGAGGGTGTTGAAGGGGGTCTTCCTCTAATTACAGAGTTTAACAAGGGCCTTGTGCAGTTCAGGGGGTTTCGCAAAATTTACCCTGTGAAGACTACTAAGATATGAAAGCAAACAGAGATATAAATTGTACCTGTTGTTGGCCAGAACTTGGCACCTCGGAGCCATGGAGCAGGGAACGCAGCATAATCCCTGGTGTATGGCTTCGTCCATGTGTCGCTCATGAGCATTGATGGTGGATGAGGAGCACCCTGTACATTTTTTTCTCAGTTAGTCAAGTAATACACAGTTAAAATTGAATATATCCGCAGATATAAAAATCTTTGGTGAATACCTTGAGGACATTGTTATTAATATCAGCTTTGCCATTCTCGATCTCAGCAATTTCTTCTCTGATGGAGATAAGAGCATCACAGAACCTATCAAGTTCAGCCTGCAAGAAAAAACAGACGTTACTTAATAAGAATGAAAGAAAACAAGGCAAATAGAAATACAGTAAACTGTTAAAATATATACCTTGCTTTCACTTTCAGTGGGTTCGATCATGAGAGTTCCTGGAACAGGCCATGACATTGTTGGTCCATGGAATCCATAATCTATCAAACGCTTCGCAATATCTTCAGCCTCTATACCAGCGGTGTTCTGCAATAAAGAAAGTGGCTTTAATATAAACAGCGAGAGATGAAGATAGACAGAAACGTTTATAAATGGTTGTTTTAAGAGTATAATGCACCTTGAAATGCCTGAGGTCAATGATGAACTCATGGGCACAAGTACCATTAACCCCACGGAAAAGGACGGGATAGTGGCTCTGCAAGATAAAAAATAAGGATGTAAATGATTTTTTTAAATACAATAAAATGTTGACCGAACAAAAGTCCTAATGGTTTACAAACTACACAGTCTGCAATGTGTTTTCCTTTGTAGTTCTTTATGCACGTCATTTTTTGTGAAACAAATTAAATGCGAACTATTAAGAATATTACGTAAAAGTTGGAAGAGATAAACACAACCCGAGTTTTAGCATTGGCATAGGCTGAACCAAAGCTTGAAGATATTGAACTAAACCTCGATAATAGGTCGAACCAGGTTAAGTATGTGGACATTGGTTCCGGCTGATACATGTTCTCTTCGCCCTTTTCATCTCTTTCGTCTTGTTGAATGCGATGAAATGAAACTCTTTAACTGAGAGTAATTTCCAGGTCCAATAAGGTTCCTAGTTTAGATATGTGTCTTAGTTTTGCTTATCAGAGCACAGGTTAGTGATCAAGCAGTTTGGAAATTTTGCTACTTAAAGGTTGAAACTACTTAGTAAGGAGAGGTCTTCTGCATAGGGTACTACGAAACAGTGATTTTATGAATGAAAACCTTCATGCACTAGCTATATATGATTCCACAGGCATGACATACTTAATTTCATGTTTACAGCCACTCTAGCAATCAAAAGGTTCAAGAATATTATAAGTGATAAAGGAAATGGATACTCTAAAGGCAAAAACATTGGAATGAGTATGCTAAAGCTTACTGGTATGTTCGGGTGGTGCAAGGATTGACAAAGATATCATAATAATAATTGATAATGAAAAGGAAATAACAGCGAATCTATAGTTATCAGAAACAGGAGAAATGTGAGAAAACAATACCTCTAGGCGCTTAGCCATGTAGTTTGCATTCAGTATGGCTATCTTTGAAGCATCAGTAAGCCCCTTTGAGCCCATCATAGCAATGTAACAGTAGGAGATAGGTAAAATAAGAGCAGATCCCCAAGGGGCTGCAGAAATAGTACCAAGTGGCTGCTGATTCTCGGGGGCTGGTAACCCTCCAGTGGCAATCTAGAACCAGAAAATTTAAACTTTTAACTCTAAATACAAGTGTCAAATAGAAAAACCTAAATGTAAAATAATAAATAAAATAATTTATTTCAAATGACTGTGATGGCTTTTTCATATACTTGGGTAGTTTGCTATTCAGCAACAAAAAGATGCAAGCAATGGTAACCCGTTTGTTCTTTTAGCATCATAACAATACATAGATACTATTTCTTAATATACGAGAAAATTCCAATGTACAGATGATAACATGGCTATATATGCAGCTTCTAGTGAATAAGCAAGTCTTTAAAAAATGAACTAGATATTTTTGAATTTGTAATGGTGTAGTGAATAACCTTAGGAGGGTAGGATATTTTTGCAACAACAAATTTTATGCCATAATGTATTTCCATATGACACATATCCATCACGTAAAGTTTCATAGATAAAATAAGCACTGGACACAGGTTGTTTGTTACAAGGTCTGACACAAATTTGTAGTAAGAAATATTATTCTGCAAATTATATGGCGGAAATATTTGATTAACTCATTTGGTTATAGAAATCACATTCAAGATGTTCGTTTATTCCCCTAAAATTAAGATCTATATTCTAACAGAGTAATAGTAACCATATGTAATAAAATTTTCTTCAATATATAAAGATTTCTTGACAGCATTAACCTTGTAGAGGAAAAAATGATGCCAATGTAGAAAGATTAAACAATTGTAAGTATGGAAGACAACAATACTAGATAACAGTACTGAATTAAGAAAGAATATTGGATGACCCTCTATGTAGGCATTTCAAACTAAAATGACTCAAATTACCAATGGTAGCATAAGTATGAGATGATGGTTTCGTCACATTAAATATATGGTTGTTTTCTATCGATGGCTGTACATGCATATTCCCAGCTGACAGAGAAATTACAGTTGATTGTATTTCTCTTCAACATATTTAGACCAGGCATCACAAGTACTTCTTTGCAAGATAGTCATTACCATTAATTAATAATATTTTCATTTAAAATAAGTCAACATCATGAGAATATAACAAGACTAAAGTAACATCCAAATCATATGTTTATTATTTAACTATATAAATCTTACCACAGGATGTGATGGCAAAAATGGTGCCAAGTGTTTCTTGACACCAATGGGACCCATTCCTGGGCCTCCTCCACCGTGTGGAATGCAAAATGTTTTGTGGAGATTAAGATGACATACATCCGCGCCAATATAACCAGGGCTTGTTAATCCAACCTATATGAGGAAAAAATTCTGTCAGGATAGAGTTAGAAGTATGAAATGTACTAGATTATACCAGAGAAGAAGAAAAATCTAACTGAAAAAGATGGAGGCAGCTTTGGGCAAATGATACATGGAGGAGACTGATATGTGACATTTATGCCAGTGAACGTAACCCATAGATGTACATTACAGAACATCTAAGTCACAGAACATCTAAGTCTGAAGAGATTATATTAATTTGTTGACAACAGAGTTAAATTGAGGACATGGAAACTATCAATTGCAGATGATTAAAAACGATTGCCAAACAATCCAGAACAGCTTGGCAATAAATAGTTGAACTTTGGTGATAGTATCCTTATCAGACTAGATATTTTAATAAAAAACATTGCATTACAAGTTGACAGTGAATAGTTAGAACCATGGTGACTGTACATAGTTAGATCTATAATGCCAAATATTTTTCTCTTCCATTAAAAAAAAGTTTCCCTTTACTTCTTCTGTAGTATATCTATGCACCAAAGTGACCTTAACAGACGATATAAACCAATTTCAAGATTATTTGAGCTGGTTTTTCTCAATAAGGTCCACATGAGTTATCAGTAACCTCAAAGTACCAAGAGTACTAGAAATGCCATAAAAATGATACTACTTGATTTAGATTACTTCAGTATTAAGCTTGTTTCAGAGTCTGAGCTTTGTATAGTAATTTCTCATGATTCCACCTACAAGACATGTACTTCAACTATGCCAGTGAGTCGAAATAACCTAGAATCCTATAAAAGATTACACTCACCTTGCGAGTTAAGGAAAGTATGCTATCTCATTAAGTTCATCAAAGAAAATTCGTAAGGATTTTATAGCTTGCATATGCTGAATAGTAGTTTTGGTCAGAGGAAGCCAAGACAAACCTGAGCGTTCATGTTAGCACCATCCATGTAAACTTGTCCTCCATTGTCATGAATTATTTTGCATATCTCGTCAATGCCTTCTTCATAGACTCCATGCGTTGAAGGATAAGTAACCTGAGGAACCGGCACAAGTAAGCATTATCATTGAAGTGACTATGGTTGACAGAATAATATCAAACTCTATGTTAACATCATATATAATATGAGAAGAGAAATAAACGATAAATCCTCTAAACGGTAGTTCACACCATTCTATTATGTAGGATTAGCACTCATTACATGTCTTTCTTACAAAAAAGTTCAAAATCACCTTTTTTATAACAAGTGATTTGTCAACTATCTAGGAAAAAAGATAAAGATACAATATTGTTTTGATTTTCTCACATTAGGTTCAGTAGAAGTTGTTCAGAATGAGAATTCATACCATAAGAGCAGATAAATGTTCCTTGTTTGCTTCAGCAGCTTTCCTTAATTCCTCAATGTTAATGTTTCCCTTAGCATCAGTTCCAACAGGGACAATTTTCATTCCACACATTGCTGCACTCGCTGGGTTAGTGCCATGAGCTGAGACGGGAATAATGCATACATTTCGATGACTATCACCTCTTGCCTACAAATTTCATTCAAACAAATTCTTAGGACCTTGAACACCAAGAGTTTAACTGAATATATTCAAATGATTGTAACAATACACATTGATTTTGAAAGAGGAATCACTCACCACATGGTAAGCGCGAATAACCATAAGCCCTGCATATTCTCCAGCAGCACCAGCATTTGGTTGCAATGAGACAGAATCAAATCCCGTGATTGTGGACAAGAGGTCACCCAAATCGTTAAACATTTCCTATAAATAAAAGACTATTATTAATAAACAAAAATTAACAAGTCTGATGATTTCAACAAACACAATTATTACCTGATATCCTAGAGCTTGTTCAGTTGGGGCAAATGGGTGGATGTTAGCAAATTCAGGCCAAGTCACGGGCATCATCTCCACTGTAGCATTCAGTTTCATTGTGCAAGAACCAAGAGGAATCATACTATGACATAAAGACAAATCCTTTGATTGTAATTTACAAATGTACCGGAGTAGCTCATGCTCTGTGTGGTACCTGAATCAAAGCATAAAAAGTAACAATTGAAGCAGAATCTAAGATGGAATTTTATGATCAAACGCTCAGGTTGCGGGTTCATACGAATTGAAGATCTGATGTGTCAAGTATGGGCTGTTTCTTACAAGTCCACTAGGGATTGTAGTTTGGACCTCCGGTGCTAAAGATGCAGCAGTGAAATTTACCTAAAAAGGTGTCATAAGCTTTTGATTGCCCAACAAAATAACACAAGAAACTATCATGAGATACTCACAGACTTGCCACCAGCAAACACTTTAAACAGCTTGTCCACATCCTCCAAAGTTGTAGTTTCATCAAAGGAAAGAGTTATCTGAAAAATTACGAATGGAACTGTATAAACACCAGAAACAACCACTTGCGAAAGTATGGAAAACAGAGGCAAATTATGATTCGCCTTTACTTACTGTGTTAGAGTCCACAATTCTAAGGTTCATTTCACTCTTGTAAGCTGCATCTGCAATAGCTTTTGCATCAGCACACTTAACCTTCACGGTGTCAAAGAAGGGGAGCTCTTGGACAGTCACTGTTCCGAGCTTCTTCAGCCCATGTGCAAAAGTACCAGCAAGGCCATGAACTCTGTCCGCAATAGCTTTGAGGCCTTCAGGGCCATGGTACACCGCATACATTGCGGCCATATTTGCTAGCAATGCCTACAAACATATTTCAAGAGAACTCGCTATGAGAGATGGATCAAAATGAACCTTAAGAAATTAAAATTAAAGGAATTAGCTGGAGTTGGGCAGGGCACAAAGGTTGAAAGCAATAACAATTAAATAATATTAAAATTAACCAAACTCAAATTGGACGGTGCAGATATGAATCAGGTAAAAGAGAAAATGGGAACCTAGAGATGACTAAGACGAGCGCTTCATGTATAGACTGAACAAGCTGAAAGTCTACCAAAATTCAGTAGAGAATTTATAAAATTTATAAAAGTTACAGCTCTATCAAAGTACAGTTTAGGGTGAATGTTTTATTTATTTAAAAAAAAGCATTTATCCTGAAAGAAGTGAAACAAGTACATAAGTGAAGGAAAATGCAAGAACTAGATTAGGGAACTTCCTTATATAAGCTTAGTAGATACAGAGAGAAACACTGAGCAAATCAGCAAAACATTCATAACTGCAACGCAGAGATATGAGTTGAACAATCAAAAACAAAATTACTAAAATGAACTACCAAGTAAATTCTTAAACCAGGATATTTGGATAGGAAAAAAAAAATTCCCCAGTGGGGTTCTCTATAGAAATTCATATAGGGAGAAAGAAGATAGTGACAAATTGCTTCACTATAAATTCTAAATCAGTTCAGTCAGTATTGCCACAATGAATATATTCATCAACACGATGCTAGCACAATCAGACTATTCTATCAATGAAATCCCGAACTTTAAATTCTGTGCTTAACATATGTCACGCTCGGGTAAACTAGGGACTGACATTCTGTCCACCAAATTTTTGTCCCTTCTGTTGTGTGTTAATATATGATACACATCAATACATGCATCTCCAAGACAGTATTGATGTGTATCATATATCAACACAGAGCCCTCGCTCCACTCAAGGTTACATAGCTATAATCATATAAGAGACAAGACAAACTGAAAACATCAACATATACTTCTAACTCAGCATCCAAAGTACAAATAAATTAGAACAACAAATCAAACTCAAAAACCTTATACCTGAGCAGTGCAAATATTACTGGTAGCCTTATCCCTCCTAATATGCTGCTCCCTCGTCTGCATCGCCATTCTCAGCGCCTGCTTGCCCATCGTATCCACACTCAACCCAATTATCCTCCCCGGCATCATCCTCTTGTACTCCTGCGATGTTGCCAAGAACGCAGCGTGTGGCCCCCCATACCCCATCGGCACTCCAAACCTCTGCGCGGACCCCACCACAATATCCGCCCCCAGCTCACCTGGTGGCTTCAACACCGTCAAAGCCAACAAATCCGTCGCCATCACCACCTTCACTCCATTAGCATGCGCATCCTTTATAAACTCCCCATAATCCAAAACCTCCCCTTCAGTCCCCGGATACTGAACCAAAACCCCACAAACATCCTTCGACGAGTAATCGAAATCCTTCAAATCTGCCACAACCACCTTCAGATCGAACCCATCTGCTCGCGTTTTACAAATATCTATAGTTTGCGGGTGGCAGTTGCTCGCGATCACGAACGTCTTCTTCTTACCCTTCTGAATGTTGTTGCACATCGCCATGGCTTCGGCCGCAGCAGTCCCCTCGTCGAGCAGGGACGCGTTCGACATGGGCAGAGCGGTCAAATCAGTGATCATGGTCTGAAAATTCAGCAAAGACTCCAATCTCCCCTGAGCAATCTCAGCTTGATAAGGGGTGTACTGAGTGTACCACCCAGGATTCTCCATTATATTCCGGAGAATCACAGCGGGTACGAAGGTATCGTAATACCCCATCCCGATGAAGGATTTAAAAACCTTGTTCATCGAGCCGAGTCGCTTCATGTGAGAAATCATCTGGCTCTCAGTGAGCCCTTCGTCGAACTTGGGGAGGGTCATCGAGGGGATCCGGATCGACTTGGGGACGGTGGCGTCGATGAGGGCGTCGACGGAGGGGAAGCCGACGGGCTCTAGACATGATGGGCTTGGTCGGCGGGGTGGCGAGTTGTGGCGGGCGGGAAAGTGTCGTGGGCTTCAGGCCTCGACGTGAGATCGAACGGGATTGCTGGCGCCGGTGGCGGGGGGCCTTGGGGGCGGTGGCGGGAAAGCTGTACAATGTGGAGATGTAGCGGGGCGGAGAGGGGTTCGAGGGTTGCGATAGTAGGAGGCGGGGAGGAGGAGAGCGCGGGTCGATAATCGCCGAGCTCGCTCATCCGTGAGAGAGAGAGAGAGAGGGTGGAAGCGAGGAAGGAGACGATGGCGGTTTTTGTCGATCTGGGTGATGGTGTTAATAAATAAATAATATAATATAATATATTATTTATAGGGAGAAAGTGATTGAATTGTAGATCTGAATCTTGGTGGGTGAGTGGGTGGTGAAAGAGAAAGCAGAGGAGGCCAACTGAAGAGAAAACGGGGGTGGGGGGGGGGGGGGGGTGACGTGGAGGAAAACTAGATGCTCTAAGCCTCTAATCCCTGAGGATTGAGTTTGAATGGACACGAAGCGAGAGATGCCCATCCCCCCCTTATCCCTCTGTTTTTTCATGAGAGCTTGGAGGGAGAGGAGAGGAGAGTTTGAGAGGAGAGGCTGGGATCACAGGGAAGTTATCGCTTTCTCGGGCGTTGTTGGGCCTCAAAAAATAATTTTGGAGACAAAGGGGGGATTTTGGGACGCGTGGGTGGGCCTCTTGAGAAATTGGAAGAGCGAGTGCAGACAAGATGGGAGGGTGTGGACGAGCTCCGAGGTCTGGTTTCACCCGGCCACCTGCCCGCTGGGTGGCGATGATGATACGGGAATCTGTGGGAATATGTGATTGGTTCATGGCA